CAAGTTATCCTTCCCAATACTGACAGTCAGAGTACATTCTTTCTCGTAGAATTTGAACAATCGGATTTCAACAGCTCTGAGTGTAATAATGTTGTGGTGCATGTCAGTCAGGTTTCTATCTCTTACACTCATGCCCTCAGGGACTTCCCTTATGACTGTAGTGATGCCTCTCTTATTTTACATATCAATTCTTGGTACATCTTGTTCTTCACTTTCTTCAATCGACCCTTCTCAACCCACCTTCCCTAGATTGTTCTTACTGGTATATCAACACATTTGTTGGATGCTTCGAACTTTAATTTTTTTTGTTTCATCTTGTTTGTCCCACCAGCAGCTCGCTCAATGGTTTAACTCATTTCATAGATGCCATTCAGACTACTGTGACCCTTACTTCATTAAATGTTGGCCTTTGAAAGCAGCTGCTATAGATTTTCCTCTTGTGCAACCTCCAAATGTAGCCCAGACTGGGGACATGGTGCATCTGTGCACAATCCATCTTGGATACATCACCCTATGGGCACTTACACCCACTTATTCAAAGTTCAATAATGCAAAAATACTGTTTATTGTGTGACTTTCCTGAGGGAAAGGTTCAGCTTCCACCTCGAGGAGGCCTAACCCTTCCTCATATATGGAAAATTGAACATGCTTCTCCCGTCAACAAACCATGAAGTGCCCTCGGAAAGCGACAGTGAAACGAGGGAAGGCGGACCATTGTGATTTTTGTCATTACCATAGTTTCTCTCGTTCACAGGAAGGCGGACCTTTAATTCTCGCTCGGAACAGCAGAAAATCTGTCTTTTCATCGGCAGAAACAACCTGGAGAACCAACCCATCACTTTTGAGTGTCTGTAGTGTGGATGTAGAGAGCAGTAAGTAGGGTTCTTAACTGATGTCATAGCGCGTCAGGGTCCCCTCCAACTCTCAAGATATGTCAATCATCTACTAACGGAATGCGCGAAGGCTTAGTCCATTCTCAGATTTCTGCCAGAGCAATATGCCTTCGGATCATTGAGGAAATGGGTGAAGCATACATGAACTCTTATTGACAATTTCCACTCTATCTTGATCCGACGCTTACCGTTCTGATACCCTGCTGTTCGGCGAGCCCTAATTTTGTTCTCTTGTTTCCATCTCGCTTTTTGATTGTCAGTTGCTTTGATCCGTTAATACGGTCACTATGAGAATGAGTTCTAATTACAAGTACCTTACAGGATAGATCATTCGTGATTCACAGGTACTATACTTAAGAGTTGTTATAATCCATTCTTTTATGATGATTCCTCATTGACAACCCCAGCCTTATTCCACACTGCAATCAAATCTATACGCGAAACACTCCATTCATGCCGCGTCATCTTCCAGATCTAATCTGCGGAAGTTTGACCAGCGCTTAGGCATGTCTGTCTGTTACTTGTCTGCAAACCTTTCCTCACCCGAGTCTCACCTTTATTTTTTATTGTCAATGTACGAGTTTCATCGTCTCTCTTCTCATAGAAAATTCTCAAGGTCTCTTCAACCATCCTCAATTGAGAAATTCCCCATTCTTTAGTTGCGTAGACCCTGCAGTGCGATAATCACAATCCCGAGTAAAGCTCCGAGAATCGGTTGTCGGACTCCAAACTTCCGTCGCTCTACCCAATACCCGAAAAATTTCAAAAGCTTCCGTGGCGAAGAGCGAGTAGTGATGTATAGATGCGAAAGTTCAACGTTGTAACCGTTGGAAGCCGAGCTAAACTTCTTGTCAGCGCCGTTTCAAGGAGAATATACATTCTGTATCTAATTTCATTACGATTCGCTTCTAGCTGTTACCGCGAAGATCTTGAGAGAAAGTCTTTTCTTTTGTTCTCGCCGGATTCTCCCACCCGTGTTCGACTCAATGTAGTGCCTTATGATTCCCCTCACCATCACATAATGGGCGGTTGTCGGGATAGGCATGTGGAAGATATTTTTTTACATCAGACAGTGTAAAACATGCCTCCTCGATAAGTATCACAAAAAGTTTGACCAGTAGATTGTACAAAGCCTGCATCAAGCTGTGGTGCTTGAGGCCCAGTGAAAATCAACAAATTTTTGGGCTATTGTAGGCTATTGTCAGATATTCGGTAAATGTATGACATAATGAGATACTATGTGTAGCTATTGTCCCGTATTGCGCCCAAGTTCGTCTTCCTGAGTATACGTTAACTCGAGGAACTTTACATTTGCTGCTGTAAACATTGTAAGAGCCGACCTCCATCCGGTGAGTGCAGCACCTCCCTATTGGGCGCTTGTCGCACGCGTGAACCAAGGGTGTCCGTGTGTCGTGTAAACTGTACGGTGGCCGCCCACACAAGCAGCCGCGGTGGACTTATGAGAACGAGCAAGTGTCCGTTCACCCAAGTACCCGTGGGAACCTCTCCCGGGCATTTTACTTAACTTGGTTGACGTCTCGCGTATAACACTCTTCTTTGTACCATCACCATCTCCCACTTCTGACAGGAACTCGCCTCCCTCGTTGACTTCCTTCCTTATGTTGGCAAATGAATGTGTCTCAGAGTAAGTACCAAGTACACAGGACTTATCATTTCCTCTGGACTGACTATCTCTTTTCGCTGGCCAGGTTATTGTAAATCAAGTAAGCTGATCTCGAAGACGTGTTAAATAACTCGTGTGGACTTTATTTTCATGTGAGTAACATATTTCTTATTTCCCAATTTTCATTGATTGCAGTTATACATTTAGATATGTTCAAATTTACGACGGATGTCAACGCGGAACAGGCAAGCTGCAGGAAAGTTGGGGAAGAGTCGAGGGTTGGGGGCAAGATTCTTGAATGATGACTTCAACCTCACCCGGACGGTGATTGCTTTGATCGACATCCGGGGCCACGAGAGGAGTTCCGGCGCTTGATTAGAGGGCCGTTTCGCAATGGTCTGTTTCTGTACCCGTAAATCGCCGAACAAACTAAAGTTTAACGGCTGGGTTGATGTCTCTCTAAACTGACGTGACAGCCCGTCGCAAAAGAAAACTTTCCCGAAATTCCTCAAAATGACTACGTAGATATGTTGAATTTCCTAGATAACAGTCTCAAGACTTCAGACGCCTTCCTATGACACTTAATTACCGTCGTTTCGGCACTGGAGAGGTTGGCGAAGTCAGTGGAAGGATGTACGGGAGTATAACCATTGGAGCTTACGCAGACTGAGATAACATCCCCTCCGCAGCTTCCAGAGTTAGGGTCACGCCGGCAGGCATATCTAGGATCAGGAAAGGAAAGAAAACCATTGGTTCGAGTACAATGGCATTCGATTTAATTAAAAATTACCTCAACCCAGTGAATGTATTGGTATATTCATTGAAGATGATGGGGGGAGGGGAACATCCGAAAATTCCTTCAGTGCAAGGATTCTGGTTCGTGGTGAGGCCATCTACAGCTCGACAGTCGTCGGTGTAGACGGTCCCTTTTGTTGAAGAGCAACAATTGTTAGTTTTGGTCGCAAACTCGAACGAGGGAGAGTGAGGGGATGTTAATCCGAGAGCACGTACAGCGATTGACTCCTCCACCGAGGCTTTGTACGTTGCCGATGCCATAGTTGAAGCCGGGGCATATAGCCACGACTTGACCGATGGAGGCGACCGTAATGAGGAGTGAGGTGAATGCTTTCATCGATTACTGCGACTCGAGAGAAGGAGTGCTGATGAATGGCTTGGATGAGTGGTTTGGTCGGGATTTTATATGAATTCTTGGAGAGACGCCGGCTTGTTCTTTACAAGTGTTATTAATGATTCTATAGGTCTATGGTTCCAGGTTCGCCTACACAGGTTCTGCATCAGGATTAGTGCTGAGTGAACTATGTGGGTCTGTAGTGTATGTATTGAACAGCAGCCGCGCCGTTCTTATCAATCGTTTCAAATATTCAACACGTACAAGTGGCATTTAAGCGCCTGTGAGTCAGAACGCCACAAATTCAAAACTGTATTCTTTATAGAGTCACGATCGAAATCATAATTTTAACTACGTAGTAGCAGGCTAAGGATGGTATGGTTCAGAGCCGACAGCGCTCAATCTTTATACGATTACACGGATACACGGTTGAGGGCGGTGAGTTAAGGGCGCTAGCTTGGGTATCGGAGATGTAAGTCAAAACAAATCGTCTATTTTAGTCTGGTCTGAACGTTCGTATTCAAAGTCAATTTGAATGTAGACGTCGATGGGTTGTTGCACGGGTTAGCACCGAACCTGTCGGGACCCATTGGGTATCTCCGAGTCGTTCTACTTTTACTACGGACCGCCAGTTCGAACTTGGTCCTCTTAAATACAGGACTGGAGACCTCGAAAATAATTTCAGTTACGCCTGGGATGTGCTACGAGTTCATCAATAAACTGACACCCATACTTGCCGTGTTTTGTGTCGTACTTAGATGCGCCCGCTCATCGATCATCAACCATCCATGCGACGCTGCGTACCGTATATATCAAATAAGGTCTAGCACCCTGCGTCCAATTGTCCATATTAAAATTATAGCTCATTTTTGGGGGCCATCATTTTGGAGGCCCCCATTTTGGACGCCGCTCGAGAATACACTGCTCAAAGACAGAGGCTTGAGTGATAATATACGTTTACCGTGTTTAAGGCTATCGAAGAGGCAGCATGCGGATGTCGAATATATAGAGTTCTTCCGCAGACCACTAAACCTTTTCCATTTGCTCTCCAATCTAGCCTTCATGTCTATTTCCCTGTTTTGTAAATCACTCTGCTGTCAGACATACACCTTCCCCCCGATTCTCCGTGATGACCTGTCGTTAAGCTCGAAAGTATTTCTCGTTATGTGTCTCCCTGTCTCCCTTTCAACCAAGGCATGTATGTACCCCGCTATTCAGTTACGTCCAGTTGTGTGTTGTTCTTCGCAAAGGTGGGGAGTAGCATCTGGGTCTCTTGCGGCCGACCACGTACCTACAACCACGCGCGTCACATCCTGGGACTGGAGAGAAAAAAACACTTGGGCAATTACCTCACTCCGACCTGCCTGGTTCGAACAGGCGACCCCAAGATTACAAGATAACCATTTACAGTCTTGTGCTCTTCCAACTGAGCTAAGGTCGGATAGCAATGTAACACATGTATGTTTTGTAGACGTCATCGATTTTACACTACCCTTTCGACCAACAAGTATTACTTATATCTGACACACCTTGGGATAATCGTGATTACGACGTTTGAAGCCAGGATTTCTTCAATACGAAGTAGAACAGCGCCGGATCGTAAGTACGCTTTATTTCCATTTCTCGACATCCCCCCCTTGAATGGTCGAAGAATGCTTTCGTTTCGTTGGCTCTGAACAGTGCGAGGAGACATGTTTTGAGGCTGACTGAGAAATAGAATTTTCACCTGCCTATCCTCAATAACCGAGCCGTTCTGTGATGGCAAGGAGGATTAACAAACTTATCCTATAACAGACTACAACTGCACAGAAGCTTCGATGCTCGGAGAGCCTCGCGAGAAACCCTAAATGGGTCAAAACAGATTTAAAATCTTCTTTCAAGATCCTCGTGGCAGCGGCTAGAAGAGAATGGACATGAAGTGAGATACCAAATGCCGCCCTTTTTTCTTTGAAAATATTGCCCTGAAACGGCGCTGACAACAAGCTGAGCTCGGCGGTCAACGTTCCATTTTTCAACATGGTATCTCTACATCGCTACTCACTGTTCGCCGGCGCCACGGAAGTTCAACTCGAGGTTTTCAGGTAAAGCAGCCGTTCGCACAGTCTATCTCTCTAGCAGTAACGTAGCAACGTACCCAAAGGTACAAATGGACATACGCGTGGTCACATAGGCCTGTTACTGGCCGTCACGGCAAGTTGAGTAGTGACACCCATTTTGCCAAGTCGTCATCTACCGTACTGTTACAGGACTAGTGGTCCATCACAAACTCTACCCAACCGCTTTCGGAGGCTTACTCCTCACCGGGATCGTGAGAACTGAAGATTGGAGACTAACGGACTCCTGGGATTCGTCTCTGATATATTTGGCGCAAGCCGTCAAGTGTCGGTAGGCTACACAGGTTTAACTAATTGGGTGGTGATGGCGATGACACTTCAACGACCTTAATTCCTCCCCGCCGGCTCCTGCTGATTTACCCTTCATGATACCCCACATAAGTTTGACGGGTCCTTTCTGTATACTCTCGGAATAAAGAGAGAGAGAGAGCAAGATTTTACCAGGTTGGTATGCACATTATATTTAAATGACAGGGATAACGGATGGGCCATCTGTTAGTAGTGCATGTGAAAGATTTCCTCCCAAAAAAGCGGGAAGAAGGGGAAAGTAACTTAGGGTACCAGTGTTCAGTGGCAGTTCCGGAGTCGCAGGGAACTGTATCCACTTGAAAATTAAGACTTAAGACATGGAGCGAGTTAGAGTTCACGTTAGAGTGAGAACCACAGGTTGACTGGAGCCAAACTACGCGGTGACCATGGGGTTCCCATTCAAATCAGTGATCTATAGTTTTTCTCGCTCAGCATATATAACTCTTAGAACCCACCAGCAATTAGTTCACCTCTCCTTGCCTCCTACCACCTCGATCATGAAGCACACAAGATGGAGCAATAGTAGCTGTAATTTCAGTATTCCTGCTGGTTCCGGCGCCGCTCGCAACCCCTCCGTAGATTTGACTGTGCCTGCCAACAGTCAGGAAAAGCCCTCCAGGAGTACCCCACCTCAGAAACTCCCTCTTAACAAGAGGCGGGGATTCATATGGTGTCAAATGATATCCATTCCATTGGGAATCATTCTCCTTTTCATCCTCTTGTTCCCCGTCGTGACAGCTATCGTTCAGCACGTTGTCAACCAAAGTCAGCTTAGTGTGGATGTAGCTCAAATCAGCTCACCGCGCAACGACAGGTAACGGTGGCTGCGCCCCTTCCGATTCTCCACTTTACTGACTACCGTCCTCATCCCAGCTTCCAACTCACATTACAGGGCATGGTACTGATTTCGATATTATTTCCTCGTATGATTCTTGACTATCCACCTAACTACCAGATAACCAAAACGGGTGCTATTTCCGCTACAATCGACTTCAAAGAAGCAATCCAAGTGGCATGGATCCCAACCGATGAACCGGAGGTCACCATCGGATCAATAACCTTGAATCGGTTAAACGCAAAGAAGGCCAGCGCAATCATCAATCAGACGACGACTTTCACCATCAGGAATCAAACTGCGTTTGAAATGTTTGCAGTGGAGATGATCACTGCCAACAATTTTACTTGGAGATTGACAAGTAACAATCTGCGTGTTCAAGCTAACAAATTCCCCGTGTCGAATGGAATTAAGTTGAATAAGCTCATCACGCTACAAGGTCAGTTTTTACTGCTACCTAGTAATTTGAGAGCGCGTATAACGACCGGTTCAGGTTTCGGTAACTTCACTGGTGGTGTCACCCTCAAGGACTTGCAGTTATCGAGCGACAGTGCAGGTGACATTGTTTTCACCGTTGCTACGGGCCTAATCAATCCAACGTATGAGAACCATAGCGACAGCTTGACTTCATGACTCACTCACATTCACCCAATACATGCAGTCCGTTCTCGTTGAATCTTGGTACCGTGGAATTTGATTTGATGTATGATGGTATTTTTCTCGGTACGGGGATGGGTACCAACACAGTGGTCGTAAGTAGCCGGTTGCGAGGGTGCCGATTAGAACTCACCGGTCCTTCCTTTCGCAGAAACCTGGCCCGGATAACGTTGTTACGCTCAAGGGCGTTTTTCAGAAGGGAATCGGTCAAGCAGTACTGACAAAGATCGGAACATTGCTCTCGAACTACCTGAATGGAGTCGAATCTCCCGTCGTCGCGATCGGCAAGTCGACGGTACAGGAGGATGGTACCGAAGTGTCCTGGTTGAGCAAAGGATTCCGGGCGCTTCAGTTGCAAGTTCCTTTCAGAGCGCATCGCATCAATTCCATCGAGGCGAGAGATTCGTTTCTTTAGTTTTCCCCGGACTTTGTGGTTGCTCTGGAACTCGTTTACTTTCTCGGTCACGGTTTTCTTACCTTTTATTATGCATAGATTTTTGATGAGCTGATTCTGAATTTGAATTTCTGAGAGTTGTTGCGTCGAGGAGTCTCGATCGGAGGTGCACTGTTGCCACATGTTTTAACTGTAAATCGGTAATGAGACTGGTATGTCAGATATGAGAAAATAGGCTGAATCAGCGAAGCACTAATAATCTCCTCTGAACGGTCCAGAAGAAAAAGAAGAGTGCAAGGGGTGAGGCTTGTCGAAGGTTATGCTCACAGGGAAAGTATTAGGAGCAGCAAACACAACAGCAATCCAATCAATGTGACCACTCGCCAGAAGGCAAGTAGTCGACGGAAAGGTGGGTAATCAACGGTCTCTCAAACAAAACAAACAAAACAATAGGAACGTCGGAGACGAACCTAAAACAATCAATAACTCGGAACACACAAGGAACTCGAGCTAACAACTCCTACTACAAACGTAGGCACCAAAAGAGCACACAAGACTCTTGAACAATCAATAAGCCACACAAGGACTTAACAAATACTCCGATGACGCTCACAACTAGAATGATGGCGGCGTATAACAAAAGGGACCTTCGACTCTAACGAACTGACGGAACCTCAACAACAATCAAACTCAACTCAAGGCAAACAAATCAATCAACCTTATTTGACTCGTGTTCAAGTTCAATCAAGTTTTCACAGCTATTAGACTGGGCAGATCTCTGGTATTCTGGCTTACGCCGAGCAAACTCTACTTAGACTTTCGTCAGGGTAAAATCAACTACTGACTACCTACAACTAGAAGCCCTTATATACGGTGCATTATACTTTAGTATACAAAACAAAGCGGAATAATAATCTATAATTTTGAGTGCCAATTTCTCCCCAAAAGGGTAGGTCTCCCCTTCGACGAGAGTTTGAACACAAAAGTGGGTGGTATCTTCTTCTGTCGTGGATGTATACAGTCCCATCACCGCAGTAGTGGAGCTATCTGCAGCATCAATCGTAGTTCCTTCCGAATCTAGATGCGTCGAGAGGTTAATCCCGATTATCTGATTGGCTCAATCGTCGACTGGGCAGGTACTTGCCTCAGTCAGCTTCAAGTTAAGCGAGTATCTTTATCCCGCCAGCGTTCCATTCAAGTTCTGTAGTTCCGAGTTCAGTCATCTTGATCATAAGTTCTCCGACAAGTCAGTCCGCCGTCGCATGGTTATCTTAATCTTGAAGGTTTAGGAATATTATTGTCAGTCATTGTTGACGCCCGCCTTAAGCCCTCTCATTTCGATGCTCCATTGAAAGTGGATAGAAGATTAAAGTAAAAATAATAAATCCCTGGATTGCCGTCGGGTGTATTAGAGCGAGAGATCTCCACTAATCAATCGTCGAAGGTTTGGAGAATCTTGGAGTTACAATCATAGGCTCCTACAGGTTTCGGAGTTCCTACAATATCTCTCATCGTTGGCTGGCTTTCCGTCGACTTCTCTAATAGGGACATTGAGGCTTTGACTAGCTGTTTGGGCTCACCCTAGTCCTCTAGTTAACCTAGTATTCGTCGTGTATTCTACTAAATAGTGCCAAAAATGAAGCATATTCAAGGGTTTTCATTCTGGCATGCATCATCGGACACGCTGTATTCAAAAGTTGAGGATGTTTGTTGCACATGCTCTCATCTCTCTCCATCACTTCTGAATCTCTTGAACCTGTGGCCAATAGGTGGCCTGCACGGTTATGATCCCACAATGCTGAGAGAGGAATATGTAGGTGATATTCTGATGACTGATTTGGGAGGCTCAGAATAAGGAACTGGTCTCAAGTTTTCATGATCAGAGTTGGATACATACTTATGATATGTAGTCATTGAGCTGCACTGGACTGATTAAATAAGTACCACACACTACATGACCACCAAGAAATACAGAACATGTCTGTTGAATAAAAATCATATCCATGCCCCCATTTTCTTTTTCATTCTACCTTTGCAACTATTGATGTGGCAAATCATTAGATTTAGAATGCCACAGCAGAGATTCCGGTGCCTTCAACTACATCCAATGTGAACCAGCTAGATAGAATGTT